ACCCAGCGAGGGGCAGGTCTGTGCCCCATGGGGAGGGCCGAGGAGCCTGCAGTGCCAGTCTCCTGCTGGACCCTAGGGAGCCTGCCCCATGCCCGGCAGCAGCACCGCCAGGGGGGGTGGAGACTCTGGGGGGGCAGGGCTCTGGCTCATCCCTCCCCACTGCTCCTTGCTCTACCCGCCCCAGGAAGCTTGGTAAAGTGGCACCTGGGGGAGGTTGTTGGGGACTTGAGCAAGCCCCCCCCCGGCTCTGAAGCAGCGGGAGAGGATCAGAGTCAGGGCATGAGCCTCACAGGCTGCTCCAGCCGCGGGGCTCCAGGTCCCCATGCTCCAAACGGCTCCTCCCATGACCCAAATTCCTTCCCCCACCCTCTTCCTGGCATGCGCAGATCCCATGCCCTGGCTGAGGTGACTCCAGACAGGCAGGTTCCTGCTAACTTTTTCCACCCATGTGCAGAATAAATTTTATGTACCCCAAGGCGTGTGGAGATGTGCACCACCCGTAGAAACCACACTGCCGTCTCTGGGCACTCTGTTAGTCAGCTGGGCAGCATTTGAATCCCTCCCGGGTGCCTGCCCGAGTGGCGGGGACGCTGGTGGCCGGGTCCATGGAACTGGCGAGGGGCGAGTCTTTCCTGTTAAACAATCAACCGCAGGGAGCGTTAGTGCCCGAATCGGGATTTCTCAGGCTTCCCCCGTGAGCGCCGCTGTGTCCCTTGCCGCCTTTCCGAGGCAGTCACATACGCTGTGGGTGGCGGGTGCTGCCGCCTGACACTGTGAACAGCTCCGGCATCCGCTTCCCACATGGCACTGAGCGGTGGGATGCCCACAGCCTGCTTTGAGCACAGGGCTGGGATCCCAGCTTTGCCAGGGCATCACTCTGACCTGTGGGGAGGGACTTGTGCCTCCCCTTTGTGCCTCGGTTTCCCTGTCACTGAGATGCTAGCGAAGTGACTTGGATCCAGCTACCTCGGCGTCCCCTCACGCTCGTGGGTGTGTCACTGGCTAGCAGTGGAGCTGGGATGCATTTCTTGGCCCTGCTCTGCGGGGCTGGGCGGCGTGGCCTAATGGGTGGAGCAGTGGCCTGGGGCTCTGGGTTCAGTTCCTAGATCTGCTGAGTGAGGCCGTTTCCCCACGTGTGCAGTAGGGGGCAGTGGAACGTCCTTCCCTTGCTGCAGCGCCCCCCAGTGGAGGGCTTGGGACGTGCCGTACGCGGGCATCACTGGGTCCGCGCCCCGGTCCCCTCACGGTCGCCCCTCGTGTCTCTCCCAGGCTGCCGGCTCCGTCCCGAGTAAGGTGCTGCCCAAGATGGCCTCCTCGCTGCTGGAGGACAGCTCCATCGAGCCCCCGGTGCTGCTGAGCGACATCAAGACGGAGCCCCCCGTCCTGGCTGCTGGAGGACAGCTCCATCGAGCCCCCGGTGCTGCTGAGCGACATCAAG